GAAATTCTCAAAACATATATTTAATAATATTAAATAACCTGTGGGTTGAGAGGAGAGGGAGTTTGACTATGATCAAAATACATTGTATGGAATTCTTGAATGAATATAAATATCTTTTAAAGACTGTGACCTGAAATCAGAAGAGAAAATGTATTAGTCATAAAAATGTCAAAAAGATACATACTGTGAATCTTCAGTCATCAATGCATTTGATACCTTAACAGTGATCTCAGCACCTGGAGTTTTTAGCTCAACATCACCCTTAACATAACCTCAAGTTTAGTTATAGTTTTAAAATATAACTCAAAGAAAGCACAAAGGTAATATTGCAGAACTATTCACCCATAAGAGGCTATGCTCACCGTACACTGCAGCAGGAGCCTGTACCGAGAGCTTCACTTGATGAAGTCCAAGAATGCAGCAGAGCGGGAAGAGATGCACAGTCGCAGTTCTTACTGTCTAATTTATGTTTCAAAAAAAATCGCATTATTTTGAAATTGTGTAAAACAAACCAGATAGTTTGTTATCATGCTATCATGAGCCCATACTTTGGGTTTTTTGTTTTTTTTTTTAGTTTTGTGTGATATTGCCATGTAATCCCCCCTTTTTTACTATTTTTATTGATTTCTGTGAATTTTATTCAATACATCTTGATCATATTTAGACCACAGTCTCCCATACCCCTCTTACCAGTTGTCATGCATTCTGTCATATGTTAAGGCCCATTGAGTCTAATTTGTCTTCCTCACAAGTGCTCTTAGCTTTGAGTCTATCCCTTGGAGTCTGGTCAGTCTACTAGGCATCATACCCATAAATAAAACTGACTCTCCCTCTCCCAGCAGCTATCACTTGTAAATCAATCCTCAGCTAGGACTGGGGCTTCTTGCCCACCCCCTCCATCCATGCTGGTTTCTGGGGGGGGGTTGCATTCTTCAAAGGAATGAATAGTGTTTTCAATTTGGGAAAAAGTGCCATCATTACCACTTTAATACCCACATTTTAAAACATGATATAGAAGCAAGTTTAAACTTAGAAGTACACATGTATACTATATGAACTTTGCATTGTTAGGTCAAGGTATATCATTTTCATCTAAGTACACCCTTTTCCCTCTCTCCAAATGATTTCCCTTTTCCCAAGTTTCCCAAGAGAAAGTATTCTGAAAGCAAATGTGTAAGATCAAAGGTAAATTCAGATTACTTCCTAAAGGAGATGGAATTTTATATATCAGTGAAATATCTTTCAACCTTAATTATTCTAAGATTTGAGAAAATATGGTAGATTTTTTTATGAAAATTTTTAAATTTTCTTCCCCCAGGTAAAGGAAAAATTGATATTCAAGCCTATCTAAGTCAATGGCAAGATGAGATCTTCAAGAAAGAAGAAAACATTAAAGATTTACCAAGAATGAATCAGGTATAATATTTTCCAAGTAAAAGTTCTAGGTTCATACATTTTGTTGTGGTTGTATTAATAGGAATGCAGCCTACTCTAAAGTAGCTAACAGAGCTGTGCATACAACACATCGGTAGAGTGCCTGCCTACCATGCATGAAGCCCATGGTTCAATCACCAGTGCCACAAACAAAAAGTAAAGAAATAAAAATAAGAAAGCTAACATACTATTACAAAAATAGTTAAATAATCTGCATGTCATCTTTTTAAGTTAATGTGATTATGGAAGAGACAAAGTAATATTTTCATTGTTTTGTACTTTAAACACATAAATGCACCTGGTGTTTCTATAATATATGTATCTGTAGAAAAATGTGTATTTGACATGCTTCCAGCATTAGAAATATTCATTTGTTTAGTAAACATTTATTTGGGTATCTACTAGACATCATGTCTATTGCTAGTTATTAAGAATAATAAATTACTAAGATAGGTCACACCTTGGTGCCCAAAGATCTTGTATTTGAATCTGCGTAGGTAATGCTGATGACAACAACAGAAATGACTTAAGTTGATCTCTTCCTTATACATTGCCCATATCTTCTTATATTCTTTAATGAAATGCTGACTGATAGAATAAGCTCCCCAGAACCTTACAAAAGTGAAAATTAGCACATAGTCTATTATTTCTTAATGGATTTTGCAATTTGGCATTTGAATAAATACTCTATAAAATGAATCAATGTGGAATATTTATTCTAAAACTATAAAAAGTTAATAGAACTATAAGAAAAGAAGGAATAGGGGCTGGAGAGGTGACTCGGTAGTTTAAAAACACTTAATGTTCTTGCAGAAAACCCAAGTTTTGTTCCCAGTACCCACATGGAGGCAGACAACTACCTATAACTCCAGATTCAGGGAATTTGATATCCTCTTCTTGCCTCCATGGGCTCTTGCACACACATGCTGCATATAAACATGTGCAAGCACACACACATACACATAAATTAAAATAAATAAGAAAATACGGAATAAAATAAGCATATTTATAATATATTTTATGGCACATAATATTTATACCTGCTTTTCTGGTTTGACAGTTGACTTATAGAACTCATGGATTGGAATAGCTTTTTTTAATTGACAATTATCTTTTAAAAATGTAAGTGAATTTTTACGAGTAGTTAGCAAACTAACTAGATTTCCTTCACTTCGGCCCCATGTCTGCCTTTAAAGAGAAGTCTATCCAAAGGGATTTCTTAGTATTCTTGCATAAGTAGGTAGGTCCCAAAAGTCATTCTTGCCTAACTTTAAGTGATCTTAACTCGGTGTCCACTGTAGCCCTTAAGATGAAATGGAAGTCCTTAATTTTTTTTGTTGAAATTGTTTAATGAATTACTTGGATGGAACTATGGAATTTTGCCTAATCAAAATTGCCTCCCAACATTGAAGTAATACTGGCCAGCCAACTGTTGAGGAATTGGTCTAGATATAATACACTGCTATCAGGCAATAAGTAAGAGGGCTTAAATGAAATGCCCTTCTGGAGTTCATAATTACCTTCCTAGAACCAAGATGGGTTATGGAATTAGTCTTCAGTTTGAGACTGAAGGTTGTATGCTATAAATTCTACACAGGATGCTAACCACTTCTAAATACTATTTATATTTGCTAAGTCTAACATTAAAATTACATTTTCAACTTGTGTCTTCTAGTCACAATTTATTCAGTTTTCAAAGACCCTCTATAATTTATTTCATGAGGACCCGGAGGAAGAGTCACTATATCAAGCCATTGCTATTGTAACCAACCTTTTGCTCCGGATGGAAGAAGTCGGAAGGAAGCTACATAGTCCCACATCATCCGCTAAAGGATTCTCTGGTTCAGTCTGTGATTCTGGAGGACCCAGTGAGGGGAAAACAGAGAGCCACATGGGGAAAGACCCTTCCTCTCCTAGGGAGGAACCACAGTGGTCTTTTGCGTTTGAACAGATTCTTGCTTCTCTGTTAAATGAACCGGCCCTGGTGAGGTTTTTTGAAAAACCTATAGATTTAAAAACCAAGCTAGAAAATGCGAAAACCTCTCAGTTAAAGTCTAGAACCAAGATATAAATGTCTTAGCAGAAATTGTCTGCCATAGTCAGGTTTACCAAGATTCCTATAGCCGTCAGCTTGATTCCTGGGAGTAGTTCTCAGGGGTATATTGTGGTACCCATGTGCTTGAAGTAAAAAAAATGAAAGATACTCAGAAGCACAATGATTCATTCCTTTCAGTTGACTGTAATTTTTTATAGTCTCCCTTACAAATGCTCTGTGTGTTTCAAGATACACAGCCTCAGGGCTGTATGCTCAGTGCAACCACCAGAGGGCACCACCATATCATTTTTAGTGAGTAAGTTAGAGGATTGTGCTGCTATTTTACATGAGGTTAGTGATTTTGAAAACGTGGTGGTGTGTTTATTAGAAATACTGTTATGTTATATTGCTAAACCTGTTTTCCAAATTGCCTCAATCTCATCAAAATGCTTCAGAAAGCTGGGCTTTAGTATAGTAGCCTTAATTATCTAGAAGATTATGATTTGGGGCCCTTGATTCCAAGTTATCTAACTGAAAGTTTATCAGCTTTCCAAACAAGTTTATTCACTATAGTAATACATGAGGTTTATTTTTTAGCAACGTTAGCATTCTTTCTGCTTGAAGGATTCAGAATCTTGTAGCTCACACTACTAGCTCTGTTACTGATGTAAAACAAATCAAGAACTCTAAACTCTGGGGTGATATAAAGAAAAAAATTATTGGATTTAGACTTAAGCTGAGTGAAAACAGCCTTTTGAAAAGACTCAAGAAACAGTTCATTTAACTATATAGGCCTCTCATTAGGCTGAGAGATTACAAGAAATTCTTCAGAACACTGCCCTTTGTGGCTTTTATCTCAGAATAGCTTGTGATTGCTTGTGTTCTACCTTTATATTTTGAATTTTCACCAGTCACGTTTTACTTGACAGCAGGTAGTGCAGAATAGTTACACTAAGACTGAATTGCTGTATTAGTCTGTCAAGCACATGAAGTATATGCCATGTAATGTTTACAACGGTACTATGTAGAACTGTCAGCATCTACCTTAAAAGGTTTGACTATCTGACTTGACGTATTTTTACACAGTTTATGCTACTTCTGTGTCAGTCACTACATGACAGTCCATTTAGAGATATGTGGACTTTATTAGCACTTTTTTTTAAAAAAAGCAAACAAACCACATGTGTCCTCTCTTCTGCCCGGTTTTTGACAAAAGCAATTTATTAAGCAGTTAACTTGGGAAATGGGGGGAGAATTGTCCAGTGGAGATTCCTTGTTCATACAAAACTGGTTTAAATCCTGTTGACTTGCCTAGAAGTGAAAGAGATAAAAGGATAGACCTCCCTTGTGGTGACCAAAGAAGTCTCCTGTACTGGGAAGGAATTGTTATGGCCAACCTTTGGCAAGAATGTACTGTGAATAAAACCTAACACGGGGCCTTTTTACCATAAAATAAGTTACTTTCAAAGAAGTTAAACAATTTTAAAAGTTGAACTTTTGGAAATTCCTATGTTGGGTTTGGCTAAATACTATTAATTTCTTTAAGATTTGATTGTGTTGTCTTTTCAAGGAAATTACCACTTAAAGAGTTCAGAAATAAGCCTCTATGCCTTTACTCGGAAATGATACATTGAAATATCTCCAAATTTGCAAGCTTAGTTAATAGTTTATATGAAACTGTTGCACATCTGCTATTATGCCATGATTGTTCAATTATACTACAATAGCTCTAGAAAGATATGTGGTCTATGCTTATATAGAAAGGCTGTGTTATACCCACTTCGTTAAATATTTTGTCAGTTGTATTTATAACAAATGCTTTCTTAAGAAAATAGTTTATTAATATTTGATATTACTTTAAAGTCGGAATATTAAAGATTACTAAGTATTTTATTTTAGACTAAACTAATTAAAAATAAATATTTAAGGAGATTTTTGAGTTGCAAAAAGGTTATTATAAAATATTATAAAAGATTCAGGTTAACAAGGCAAAAAATTATTTTCTGAGTGTGCAGGAGAAATAAGCTAAATACATTATAGTTTTATAGCTGCTTCCCTATTAAGCAAACAAGTTGTTCCTAATATTAAATACCTTTTGTTGTGTCAAACTAAACCAGTGCATTATGCCTTATACATTAAATGTTATGAGGTGACTTTACTTGTCTTTATAAAAATAAATAGTATAAATCTAATATTAAGTATGAAGAATGGTTTATTAAAATATTACTGTTATGTATTATGATGTATTTTATTTACACATAACTGGAATACCACTTGAAGATTTCCTTTCTGTTTCAGTTTAGAGTCCAGTGCAAAAACAGAACTTTTCATTATTTTAGGCAGGAAAAACCTTTATTACTGAATATTAAGTGTCTTATATCATTATTAGAAGGACTGATATAGTTGAACTTTCAAGAACAAGATCCAAAGCCACAAGACTACCAGGCTACCAGGGAAAGCTACTTACTTCTATAATTAGGAAAATGCTATTTCCTATTACCAGAATGAAAATGCGTCACTACTGCTGCCACCTCCAGAACCACAATTCACCTGCTGTGATTTCCACCAGTAAAACAGATGCCATGCTCCCTGCCCCTAGACACCCATGCATTCATGATGGACTTTCAGTAGGCAGCCAAACATCTTCACAATCTTCTTTATCAGCAGAGATGTCAGCAACATAGCTTCCACTTTGCTTCTGCCAATCAAGTATCACATATGTGCATCTGATAGACCTATAATAAATCAGCACAGGAACTACAGTAATAGATTGGAATGGACATTGAACATTGTGAGCGTTTTTTTTTTTTTCTATTGCTGCATAAAGAGTCAGCACAACACACATTATCTCACAAATTCAGTAGGGCATGATTTGGAACTCAGCGTAATAATCCAGACTAATTATAATGTAGAGGCTCAACTGGGGAATGAATCCTTCCAAGTTCGTTGTGTTCTTGTAGATCTAGGTCTGAAAGCCACTTCTTGTTTGTAATTGACTGGTGAGTACTCTCAGCTCCTACAGGCCTCCCACATCCCCTTGAAGTTATCATCAGCTTCTGTACATGTGTCATGTGACTTCTCCAAAATGGCTATATCATCATGCCTTCAAAGACATTCTCTCGAGTGAGTCTGCCAGGAAGGGTATCTTTTGTAATTTTAAAGGATTTTACTAGCATTGTTTTCTTTAAAAAATAACATGATTACATTGCAAAATTTTGTGTAGTTTGGAAAATTTGAAAAGGGAATAAATGGCAAACACTTTATAGCAAGTGACAAGTTTCACCTTATTGTTGAAGCTTGGTAGTACAGTTTTGCCAGTAAACAATATTCAAGAATTATAATAGACATATAGCATTGCAAATTTACATTCTAAATTACAGTTACATATTTTTGTTTAAGAATTATATCAGTTTAATTATTACAGTATTTTCATTTTCACTATATATTTTTATTGAATTTTTGTGCATTTCCTACAATACATATTAATTATTTTTAGATGAGGGTAATTTTCTATTTCTTTATTTTAACTTCACAGACTGTGATTTTTATCTCTAGAAGTTCAATTAGATGTTTTGGTTTCAGGAAGTGCGTGTTATATAAATAGGATGTAATCCCAGTAGTGGCATCCCTCCTTTTGCCATGTGCTGTTGGTTGAAAGCAAACAACTAGTCCTGTCCACATTCAAGAGAAAGATCAGCAGGGAGAGATCATGGGGTGTGCTCCATAGGGTCTTAGAATCTACCTACCACAGCACCAATCTATGACATTATGTTATTTGTCTCTTTCAGAATGCACTATGCCCTTCTGATACTTCTAAATAATAGGTAATCGCAGCAGCAGTAGCAGCTTATTTCTACCTACCAGAACATAAATCCCCCTCCTACAAACAAAAGCACACTAATCGATTCTTAAGTTTCTATGAGTTACTTGAATCCATCCATGATTGATGTTGATTCTTCTTTATCCATCTCAATACCATATTGTTATTCTACAATGTATAGACTAAATTATAAAGTTACTATCAACTCATATAAAACAGTAAGAGGGAAAAACATTGAAGGAAATTGATTGTTATGTATAAGTATATGCCTAAAAGAAGAAATTATGAATAGCCTTAAAGCTATTGTTGTATGTTTACAGGTCTTGATCATGTCATAAATTAATTATTTCTCGTGTATATGTCTGTGAATTTTTTTGAGCAAGGTCTAACTCACTATGTAGCCCTGGTTGGCCTGGAACTTGCTATGTAGTGCAGGATAGCTTCAAAGTCACAGAGGTCCTCCTGCCTCTGCCTCTGGGATACTGGAGTTAAGGCATGCACCACCAAACCCAGCATTATGTCTCTGAATTTTAATACACATGACAGTGGGCAGGTATCTGTATCACAACAATAAGAATACAGACCAATTCTTTCACCATAAAAAGAAACTCCCTCAGACCATCCATTAATACACTCTCTACTTACCCCAAGCCAGCCACTGATCAATTTTTCATCCACCTCATGAAACATCAGGTGATTGCTTTCCTAGCATCTCTGTCCCCTACATCTCTAGCCATGTCATTGAGGAATGATTAATCAGACAACTTGTTCCTAAATTTTTCAGTGTAGGAAAGTCAGAGAATATAGTGAATTCTGATGAGAGGTCTTAATTTCAACTTTCTGATTTTGGGCTAGGAGGTCAGGTGTTTTTGAACACCCATAATTTATCTTCCACCCATTTTCAGGAGCATCTTGTTAGTATTTCATTAGTCTTAATTTTGTCTTTGTTTTGCTTTTATTGGCTGCTATGTTTCTTTGACTTCAAGTAGATATAGATGTGATATTGGGGCCCTGTAGCACTAATTCCTGAAGGCAAGCCAATTTATTCCAGTAACTACATTCTGAGGCATATATATAATCACCAGAAGAAGCACATTTTACACTTTAGTTCACATTATGCTGCAATTTCTAGTTCTGACACCAGATCTACTTCATTTTCTAACTGTCTCATCAATCAGTAGATGTCCTAGTTCCTAATTCTGCTTGTCTCCCTTTGCAGGTAAAAGCTCTTCTTGGGACTACTTTTAAAATCTTTTTAAAGTTTATTTTATCTTTTAATTGTTTGTGTGCCCCTGTATGCAAGGGCTGTGGGGGTCAGAAGGGACATTGAACCCCCTGGAGCTGGAGTTACAGGCAGTGGTGACCTGCTGAATGTGGGTGCTGGGAACTGAACTCTGATCCCCTGCAAGAGCAGCAAGAGCTCTTCATTCAGACCCTTCTTTTAAGTTCTTTTTAAAAGGTTTGTTTACTTTTATTTTATGTGTTTCATACATGTGTACATATATGCACGTGTACCATATGTGTTCCTGCTGCCCATGCAGGCCCCTGCCTTTAAGACCTTGATATTTTCAATGTTCTGCAGTTTCTTAGAATTTATCTAGCTTACTTTTTTTATGTGTATGATTGTATTGCCTGCATGTGTATAGATGCAGTCATGTCGTGCAATACCCACGGAGGTTGGAAGAAAGTGTCAGATTCCCTGAAGCTAGAGTTATGGATGGTTGTCAGCCACTACATGGGTGCTGGGACTCAAACCCAGGTCCTCTGCAAGAGCAGCCAGTGCTCTTAACCGCTGAGCCAACTCTCCAACCCTAGGATTTATCGAATTTCTAAAAAATCTTGTTTGTTATTGATTAAATTTTGCTAACCTACTGTCATTTTCCAAGACTTGACTACTTTCTACACAGATCAAATAGGCAAGTTTGTTGAAGATGTGATAGAAATCACTCCCTACCCCCACACACATTTTTCTGGTATTTGGTGCATGTCCACTGTGGTAGTGAGCGGTCTTGTAAATTCTGCTTGGCCCTTCCCACCATATATAAATAACCCTTAAACACTAGTGAGGGAGCAAAAGCAAAAGGGTGATATAATGCCGTTGCTGATTGTGTCTGTTTCACATTTGCATTCATGAAGTAAAAAATGACTGTGTGTTTGTAGATCAGTTGGACCAAATGAGATAAATTCAAGTAGACCAGGTTGACCTTGAAGAGATCCTGTGGCTCAGGAGTGTTACCATGCCCAGGTGTAAAGCTGTGTTTCTTGACTGTGGAAGCTCTGACTCTGAAATAGTTATGTTCTTAACTCTACAAGGACCTCATCCCAGTAATGAGTATAAATTCAGTGCCCCATAATCTCAGAAAAATCTGAGTCCATCTATTTGCCTAAGTGCATTGTTGCCCTGATAAGTCAATACAAGCCCCTCTGGTTAGAGAAGGAAAGGAAAGCTTTACACCATGTGCTTGTGATAGTATAGTGCCCTTCCTCAGAAGTAACTGGCTTTCTTTTTGAGAGATCCAGGGTGCATCAGCTGAGTCAGGTAAGATCTACAAAGTGGGCAAAAGGCCAGGAATCTGCATCATGGTGGCCCAAATTAGCTCTCACTTCACCAGAAGAAATGCTTTGGCTATATTAATCAAGTAGTAATTAGTCTGCTGCTTGTTTATTTTGATCTAAAGCAACTGGAAAATAATTAGCCACTACCACAATGCTCCATATGTCAAAATATTCTTTTACTTCTCTGGCCTATCATGTTAATCATGCTTCACCATACTTCTGGCTATTATGTGTTGCCACTTGGTCTCTGCCCTTGTGCGTTCCCATTATTCTCACTGAAATTATTACATTCCTATTAGTGACAGCATATAGCATACAGTCTTTGTAGCAAGTTTCAAGGATAGTAAGGCTCCTGTCACTGTCACAGGAGGAAAAGGAACATCCTCTGAGCTCTGTTGGGGACATTAGGTTAGGATATAGATAAGTGGGCCATATAGTATAACATGCACCCTGGTGTTCCTAGCTCCTTAAATCCTTGGAGTAGTTCCTCATACCAAGGAATAGTTGGCATATCAACTTCATTTAATGTGGGCTGGTTTTGAACCTTGGTTTCAGTCAACCAACTGAGCAAACAGAACTATGTCCAATTAGGCAAATTAGTAGCTTATCTGGTAAGAGATAGAGATTATCTGGTAAGGGCCTATATGTTGATACATTTGACATGCTCTAAAATTCTTTTCATTCCCACCATGGTAAAAAAAAATCCTCAGTATATTAACATACATATTCTTCATGCCTCTGCCATAATTAATGATCAAAATCATAGAATCTTACTCCTTCCAGTTAAGACTTTATATGTTTGCCTTTGGGGCCTAC